CTCAATGACCATAGACAGGGTGCAAAATAAATTATTTTCCCCACTTGCCAAAAGCCTTGTGAATATTCAAATTTGAACTGCCCCTCCATAGATTACCATTGTCTTTTTGGTTTTTTTGTGGGTGAATTTAGTAAATCTAGCAGCTACTTGCATGTTTTATCAGCATCTGACCAGTGGATTGATCTTATTTTGTACCCTGGCCTAAGATGAGAAGACTAGAGCTGAAGAGATCACTAAATCAATTCCTTTTAGCTTTCTGACAGAAAAGGACAATTTAGAAATTTACGGAGTAAGATTGCCAAACGTGCTGGTTCCAGCTCGTTGAATACGATCTGCTGCTTTTCTCTAGAGTTGGGGCTTTTCTGCAGACATCATTTTTCACTATTTATAACATTTTCAACAGACAAAAGGGAGCTGTGTCAGTTTTTCTAAGAATATTTCAGCACCAGGACAGGGGTTAATGTTGACTGGCTTATTTTGATTTCCTCTACCAAACTCAGATACCTGCTTTGTAGGCACTAAAGCCTCTCAGTTACTTACTACCACCTCCACCTGTGATCCCATCACTCTCATTGCAAGTTATTTGTCACTTTTCATAGAAAAGACACCTCAACACTGCATTTGGTTGAGCCCATTTTCTCAAAAGTATCTATGACCTTAGGTGCGTTGTCAATCGAGGGGCTACTAGAGGGCTGTCTCATTAAGCATGATTTAGGGATGCATTGATTGTAAAACTCTGGGCTGACACCAATACTGATGTTTAAAATAAAAATTTGTCTGATAGCGGACACTAATGCTAATGTATTTGTTGTTATTTATCCCCCCTTTTGTGCCAGGGGACCTGAGACATCATAAAAAAATAAATGAACTGTTCATTACACTACGCTTGAATTAGCACAAATCCAATCATACACATTTGTGAAACAACCTTTAAATAACCATATTTCACATGCAAATCATCATTTTATGTAACAGCTTCAAAAGACTTTTCACTATACGTATCATAATTCCTTCTAACATCTATTTCATATTGCTGTGTCCTTTCATCCCAATTGCGCCCTGGGGAAGGCCTTTGTCGGTCCCAAACACTGTCCATATTGTCCCTGGGACAACGGGACACTGTTAGTCTTGAGCCCTGCTTTTTAGCCAGCGCAAAATTGATGTGACGCAATTGAAAAACATCGGCCACTGCCATTGGTGAGTGTCATCTTATTTGCCGATAGGTAGGTGGCAGCCAACAAGGAGAATATCAGTTGATAGCGATGTGCAGCCAATAAATCGCGAGCAGGATTATTACATAGGCTGCACAGCAGACCTTTTTCATGGCAGAGATTTTGACATGCCATACTGGGGAAAGCACAGGTGTATTAAAAACATTGATGGCTGCATTCCACTTACAGGAGGCCCTGATTTTTTGCACGTTGGCTTACTGGAATAGCGTACTGAGACACTTAATGGAAGTGAGCCATCATAACGTCATCAATTTCATCCATGCTTTTCCTACTATGACAAGTCAAAATGTCTGCAGTGAAAAAGGTCTGTTACACAGAGGAACATCTGGAGGAGCTCTTTTAACTTAAGTCCATCATCAGTTATCCAGATAGTGTCACACTCCTTCTTCCTGAGGCCCCAAATGAGTGACAACTAAATCTGTTACTTGTACTAGAAAGCGTCTTTCATTTCTTTGAGCTCAGTACCACATTGCCTCCTAACCACAGTTTCCTGTTGCTCTCCTCCCTCAGCTTCTCGCGGATCTTCCAGCAGACAGTGAAGGAACTTGCCCCAAAATGTGACGTCACCTTCCTGCTATCCGAGGATGGCAGCGGCAAGGGGGCCGCCCTTATCACTGCTGTGGGCTGCCGCCAGAGAGAGCTGGATGCGCAGCAGCACTAAGTTCCGCCCTGTTTGTCCTGGAGAACGACCTGCTGCTCCACCGTGACCTTCACCCACCGCACTGCCCGACTCCATCTCCCCTTGGCAGCCGTGACTCCACCTCTGGCCCAACTGGCCCCCGTACAGCCAGAGAGTCATGCTGCATGACTCGGGAATTAAATATCTAAATATTTATTTATACTGCACCAGAGGGTTTATTATTTCCATGTTTGTACATTTTCCTCAATAGCTTGTCCGTAATCTGATAAATCTAAACTTTAGGTGTGCAATATTTGTGTATTGCTAATTTTATTTTTATATGGAGGCAAATATATCATTGTATTTATATAGCTGAGGCCACTTTGAATCCCAGAGGTCATAGGATTTAGCACCATGGATGGACACAAAAAAAATGTCAGCACTTTTTATATGAGAGTTACAACAGCAGCATTTCAATGTAACTTCCAAATGAAGGATGTCCTTCTCATTGAATGATGACACTCATTTTTACAGGCTCCACTGGTTCAGAAAACCAGTTCCAAAAGGGCTCGCTGCAATGGGTTGAATGCAAGAGTCACGGCTGTTCAAATCATCCTCATTTATGTGCAACATGCTCACACCACTCGCTTGGCTACTAACCACTTTTTGTGTAACTATCAATGTAATTCACATATTGAAGTATTCCAGCAGCACCATACCCTTGATTCCTCCAGGTATGGGAGGGTAGAAAAGGCCCAGTGGAAGTGTTAGCGTGTCCTGTTGCTATTTGTGAACTACTATACTTTTGGTGTTGTGATGAATCCCACCTCTACTCATTGTACGTGCAAAGAATAAATGTTTATTGGGCCCGAGAAGAGTGGATACTACGAGCGCTTTTGTGTGTATTTGTGGCTGAGTGTCAGTTTGTCCTACTGTAATGACCTGTAGCTTTTAATGTCCAAAGCTCTGTGGAGACTGCATGCCTTACATTAAGACAAAGGAGAGTACTGGATCATTTTCTTTCCCCCCCCCCCCTCTCTTTCTTTTATACATCAATACAGATTTGTGATCAACACAGTGAAAAGTGAATTCATTAAATTATATTATGTTGTGGAGTAAATCCTGGTGTCTCTTTCTTAAACTATTGAGCAGCGGCAGAGACATTCCTTAACTCGTAATACAAGACGGGGAAGTCGATAACAGGCAGACACATGTCAAACACAGAAAACATTGGGCAAATTAGCTTCGAGGAAGCTCAGCTGAGGTGTTTGTGTGTGCTGTGGCTCAGCATTAAGACCAATACATGCTACAGCTCTGACAGCTACATTTGATTTAATGTAGAGGACTTATTAAGAAAGGTGATACACATGGTTGGAAATTGACTTGTTTTGTCCAGCTGCCACTGTAGCTGGTGGATTCCAAAATCTACTAACCGCTTAACAGATTACCATTCTTTTTTGGCTGGTGAGCGAAGCAAATCTAGCAGCCAGTTGGATATTTTAACTGCATCTGGCTGGTGGCTAGTGCTAATTTCCAACCCTGTTAATACAGCCAATTTCCAGCTCTTTCTGATGGAATTCCACAACACATCTTAAAAAAGAAGTGTTTTTTTAAAGGACACCTTGAAGGGTTCTTTTCCATGAACGGGTGCGGCCGTTTTAATGGAACAGTATTAACCTAGCAATTTAACACGATCCTTGTAACTGTTGGTTAAAGGTCAAGTGTGCAGGATTTAGTGGCGTATAGCGGTGACGTCGCAGAACTTAGAACTTCTCCTGTGTGCAAAGCAAATATGAGAACTAGAGTGGCTGACACGAAAATGTGAATTGTCTGATCTAGAGTCGGTATTTGGTTTGTCCATTCTGAGTTACTGTAGAAACATGGCAGACTCCCTGGAAGAAGACTTGCTCCATACTCAAATAGGAAGGGTGCCTGTCTGTGGCCCCCTTGCTCTGCCATCTCTCCATTTAATGGATGTGTAGGTCCTTTTTGTGCATGTGTGTGTATTTCAGGTCTGTGTGTATATGACAACAGAGTGAAAAACTGAATTTCCCCTCGGGAATTTTTCTTCAAAGGTAACAAAAACACAACAATTCTTAGTTTCAGGTGACTATAAACATTTCTGCCAATAGACGCCCCCCAAATCCTACACTCTATGACACTGAAGGTAATATCATGGGTGCAAATCAGGAAACATGCAGCCAGTTTGTTTTGAGCTACAAACAACCTTGAAGACAACCCAGCGACAAAAGAAGTGTTTAAAAAAAAGTTCTAGTAGCAAAAGCAGAATTTGCATCCAGTTGTTTTTCTGTCTCGTGATCAGCTGCAGATGATGTGTTATAATTTTTGGACAATTTTTATGATTAATAAATTGATTGCTTAGTCTTTAAATGTCCGACAATGTCAAAACAATTACTACACATCTATTTAGACACTATGTGTGTGACTTCAACTCATCCGGCGAAGGGGCTGTAACTGACTGACTCCTACTAGTTTACTCATCATTTACTGTATGCCTCAACCATTCCTGCATTGTACTCACTTCAGCTCTCTGTCCTTGAAAGTACAAGCTGATCCTGGAATCTTGCTGTGCAGAAATCATCAGACCTGCTGCCACCGTCATCCACGCGGACCAAGGCTACAACACAGAGAGGACAACTCATTGTACAAATGCTCCTTTAGCCCTTAAACACACATTCATACGCCCCGTGTGCAAGCTGAACATTTGAACACCTGCCAACATCTGCCCACCTATGAATCTGTTAACAATAGTTTCATTGTGGTTTAGTATGAATTGCTGTCTTTATCATATTGTTGCTCTTGTGCTCATCCAGCACAATGCATTTAATATACTGTATCCATCCCCTCCTTTGTGTTGATGCCATCGGCCTACTATAAAGTTTAAATGTGTTTGTTTGCATTTTCCTTTCGTTACAGTATGTTCCCTGCAGTGTGTGTGGGTGTGTACAGGTGTGTTTGCATGCATTTGTGTGCTTTCATGTCTGATGGCTCTGTTGCGTGTGTGTTAATGTGGGTTTGTGTGCAGGCATTTGTCCTACTTTTTAAAGGGTGTGACTGTGAGCCCGTTTGTATTAATGTGGAAAAAAGCACTGCATGTACATTAACAGTTGTGGATGCTTTAGTTGGCGCTGAGCAGGAGAAAAAAAACCTCCACATCCCTTTTTTGTGCCTATCTCTGCATGTATGTGTGAGTCTGTGATTGTGTGTTTGTGTGCATGTGTGTTTGTTTCCAGCTCTCACCAGGTTGGGTGCGTTTTACTGAGGGCTTCCTGCTGCATCCATCTGCCTGAAACTAAAAAGCGCCAAGCTGTCACTGCACATTGCAGGTATGTAGTCACGATTAAACTACATGCAATGACACGGGTCAAGTACCCGAGTGTTGCGTGGACACGCTCTGTACAGAAAAAAGGGTGGTTGCCCGTTAGCTGGCATGCTAACTTAACTAGTTGTGTCTTGTGCAATTGGCGCTAGCTAGCTAGTAATCGAGCTAGGTTAGCATTGTATTGGAGCGTGGGGGCGAGCTCCGATAGCTGCTTTTATGTTATGCTAGGCACGTTGCCAGTTTCCATTTCATATCTAACAATTCGCCTTTGTGTGTTAGTCGGTGGCTGTGCCCAGTTTGCATGAGGATATGTGTACATTTCGTGCAGATTTCCGTGCGGGAGCCGAGCGGCTAATGTCAACAGCTAACGCTAGCTAACGTTAGCTTGTCACCGTTAACCTGGTCGCTTGTTGCTGGAGCTGACGTCGGCTGGTCAGTAACCTGTTTACTGGAACTGGAAGAAACATTTAAATTAATTAAGCCGGTGTTTAAATTGTTCGGCTTCTACTGCCTCACTCCCCGTGCGTCTGTTTAGCACAACTAACAGTCGAAATTATCTTTTGGTGTTGCGATACTGGCCACCCGCTGAGCAGGAACAGCCAAATAAACTGACCCGAGAAGCTATTGAACTCGCGCACGGCACGTGCTGTCATTTGTCCAAAACAGGTGTTCCAGACGATGCACGCGACATAATTGACGGTCCATTAGCAGCTTTTTAGCTGTCACCTCTGTCACCTTCAGCCACAGCTGCATGACTTGACTAGAAAATGCTTCATAACAGTGCTCAAAATGTATGCAACTAGTAGTCGAATAATATGCTGATTATTTATTAGATTAATTCTACAGCATTCAAAATGGTGGAAAATGTCCATCACAATTTCCCAGTTGGTCTGACCAGCAGTCCAACATCCCTAACTGTTTAATTTAGAGTCTTTAAAAGCAAAGACAAGCAGCAAATCTTTATATTTTAGAAGCATGAGTTGGGGAATGTTTGCCACCTAAATGACACATATGATTAATCCTCTATCATCATATTGGGGATCACTTTTTCATGTTGATTGATTAATCATTTCAGCTTTTAATACAACAGCTTAGTGTTTAATCACTCTCTTTGTGACTCATTGTAACAGGGTTTGAAAAGAGACAGTGAAGCTGGTGGAAACAACCCCTTGACCCTCTCAGGACAACAAAGGCAGCTCCTCACACACTTGAACCACAGCAGAGCAGCAAGCTTTCATCAGACTCATGACTGTTTGAGGGGACGCGGACCCACCGTGGCCCATGCACTGTACCCGTTTCCCTCCTTGTCCTCCTTATCCCTCAAGCTGACGCAAAACCCCAGACACCTCCCCCCCCTCCCCCACCCCCATCCCCACTCCCACCCTGTCCCCAGCGACTCGCCACCTCCCAACATGGCGTCCGGCACAGAGACCGTGCACTACATCCACCTTCATAACTCCAGCCAGTCAGTGCTGGAAGCCCTGCGCACGCAGCGGCGTGAGGGCCTCTTCTGTGATGTGACAGTGCGGATACATGACGCTTCACTACGTGCCCACGCCTGCGTCCTGGCAGCTGGCAGCCCCTTCTTCCAGGACAAGCTGCTGCTGGGTCACTCTGAAATCTCTGTGCCGCCGCTGGTGCCCGCCGAAACCGTGAAGCAGCTTGTGGATTTCATGTACAGTGGCTCGCTGGTGGTGTTGCAGTCACAGGCCCTCTGCATCCTCACTGCTGCCAGCATCTTGCAGATCAAGACGGTCATTGACGAGTGCACCCAGATCATCTCTCAGAGGAAGGCAGCGGCAGGGGCAGCGAGTGCAGCTGCAGCAGCGGCGGCGGCTGCGGCAGCAGGAGGAGGGTTGCTTGGAGGAGTTCTCCCTAAACAAGAAGAACGTGGCGGGGGGAAAGGGAGAGAGAGTGGTGGCAGCGGAAGCTGTTCTGTTGGTGCGGGTGGGGGTGGAGGCTACGCAAACTTCTCCAACTTCATGGCGGAATGTGGGGCGAATAACATGGGAGGGGGATTGGGGGGTGCCAACGTTAGTGTTAGCGAGAGCGGCCAAGGCCCTATGGAGCAAGCTAACACAGTCAGTCTGATGGCACTGGGTGACATGGGCCCCGGCTCCATGTGCAGCGGCGACGGACTGGGCTCCGGGGCTGGCACAATCCTCATGAAGCAGAGCCCCAGCTGTACTCAGGATGTCAGGTACAAGCTCCGAGACCTGTTGGCGCAGACGGCCAATGGAGCCAGCACTAGTAGCACAGGGAACCTCTCAGCGGGCTGCAGCTCCGGTGTGGCCAGTGTGGACAGCATCGGCAGGGACAGCCTCCGCGGCAACACAACTGACCTCTCTGATGACCTGGTGGGGATGGACCGATACAGCGAGGAGGAGGACTTGGACGGGAGAGAGCGGGGAAGAGACGGAGACAGAGACAGGGGGGCGAGCCACAGCCGCAAGCAGAGGCAGCCGCTAAGACTCCAGGTAGGGGGATAAGGGGAAGGGTTGCCATGGTTACAGCTTTCAGGCATGCAGAGCTGCAACGGTTTGCTTTTCTTTCTTTTTCTGCTTTTCCCTCTTCTCACACTGCATTGGCGTATATCGCTGAGATGTTTCTGCACTTTGCACAATTGAAGAGAAGCTCTCGTCTTAACTTAAGCAGTAATTGCCTTGTTGATGTTCTATGGACTTCTGCATATTTACTGTAGGTCGTTAAACTTATTAGTACCTGCTTTAAGGGGCTGTAGCTGGGTCAATTTATCGTTGTTCTCATGGACTATCTGCTGCCTTTTAGCTCCTGCCACTGCTGTAAACATAATTTCTCTGCTACTCTAAATTGAAATGGATCTTTTTCTCTGTAGGTGCTGGGAGGAGAAGGAGTGGTGGTGAAAGATGAAGGGGTCCAGGACCCAGATGGGACCGTCTATGCCTTGGAGGACGGGAGACGAGACGGAGAACAAGAGGGCTCCCAGGAATCCATGGCAGGCTTTGGACAGGTGGGTTTGACATAGAGGTGAGCTGCAGCTGTGGGAGTCAACAAAGACGACCAACTGATAAAAGCAAAAATGATAAAATGTAAAACAATAGAGACGTAAGGCTCACTTTTATTGAATGTTTAAATAAATAATTAATCGCTGTGTGCATTAGGACAGCACTCAGAGCATAAAACATAATGCAGATTTTAAGCGTTTGATTGATTTTAATCTAATACTTCTGGGAGAAAAAAAAAACATTTTGCGTCTGAGGAAACTTTTAGAAATATGTCTTTGTGTCAAATTTATTCTCAGCATTTCTGTCACAAGTCCTGAAATAAGTAGGGGGGGGGGATATGGTGGAGCAGATTTATGCCGCAGCCTGCTGTACCCTGCAGACTACACAAGGAACATCTGCCACACAGTCAAAAGGATTCAGCTTTGCCTGTCACTTTTCTCAAAAGTGCTGCAGAGTAAGTCAAGATCGGAAATGGAATAATCCACTCAATTTAGGAGGTTAAGGCGTTGTGTCTTTCATGCAAAGCAAAGCATGTGATCATTAATTTACCAAGCACTGCTTGAAATAATCTAATCTTCTGTCTGTGAGCAGTTTTCCAGTTCTGCTCTTCAGTTCGTATGACACGGTGACAAGCAGCTTCTTACTTGCATATCTCAGCACAGACTATTTAAAAACCAATTTATTGTAGAGCATTACATTTGCTCTTCACTGCTAAAAGTGTAGCAAAAAAAATAAAACTATGCCACCAGTTGTGGCACATTGATTATTTTACTATTAATATTGTGCCTTTATATATTTATTCTATCTTTCCACTTCATAATTAGATTTTCTAAATTTCAGGGTTTTTTACGCACAACGCTTCAGTGAATATCTTTAATGTGACTCTAAGTAAACAGAAATTGTTTTATTCTAGAAAATGTTTTGAATTTATGACTGAAGTGTCTGTAGAGGTATGTTTTATATGATAAAATATACCATGTGTTAGTTGATATTTGTCAAACCATGCCTTCATTATTCATTGTAAGATAGTCGTCTCTTCCACATGTGTTTAACCCCATCACCTATCTCTGTCTCGGCTATCTCATCTGATAAAGGACATGCATGTGTGTGTAAGGTGCGATTACATGCAGGATGCACTGCAGTCGAGATGTGATGAGATCAAATAGTGGTGTGGCTCACTCTGTGATTGGATCTCAGCTAGATGTAAATGGCAGTTGGATCACATTTTTAAGATAAAAACTTGTTGAAAGGTAACTCCACCCCTTCTGCTATCTCAAGCTGTCTGTTAAGAATCTACATATGAGCCTCTTTCTCAGTGAGGAAAAATGAGTGGAACCGTAGACTGTGTATAAAGATGGACAACACGTCTCCACTTACTCCCACTGTACAAAAATGATGCCAAAATATCCTGGATACGGCCGCTACCATCTTCTGCTGGTGATGTCGTTTAGAGCCAGAGGCTGCACAGTGGCAATCTCCACAGTGATGAGTTCCTGCCCATGCACCCATTCAACCAGTAGCCAGCAGCGCCACTGATGGCATTGGCACACACAGCTGTCAATCAAGATGCCGGACCCCCCTTTCTGTAACATCAAATAACTAGTTAAAACCAAACGTATCAGAAAAATTATCACTTTAACATTTATTAGTGTGTCAGTGCGCTTGCTATGCCTACACTTTCTGGATCACAAAAAATGGGCTGCACACAGATGTCTGCATAGGGTCCATGCAGACCCACGCGGACATGGGTGGATAACGATATTTACGTCACACAGACCTAAACGGATTCTCTCGCAGGCACAGAAACTTTGAATTCCACCCGCTAACATTGAGGGGGGGGGGGGCCTATACTGCAGCTAGGCCATTTAGATGTTTTGTCTTTACTTTTGGGGAGCTGTCATGTCGTCCATCTTTATTTTACAGTCCAGTCTATAAGTAGAAGCCGTATAGCTGCATGGCTTTGGGAGTTCTCAGGGGTCCATTATGACGTGCATCATGAGAGCCAGGTGACTGACAGTGGTAGACGGGATGAAAGTAGCGCTAGCAAGCATCTCTGCTGATTCTGATTGCCTTTTTTCAGTCAAAGTAATGTTAGCTTAGTTAGCATGGCTGCCACCAAAGTAGCCCACAGATGCTGTTGCCTGTCTCTGACAGCCCCTTAGAGGATATGCTCCCTTGAAAATGCAAATGCTCAAATCAGTTGGGCTGGACTTAAATGTACTTTACCTTGCCAGCCCCCTAGTGCAAATTGCATGTAATATCCGACTGAGCTAATGTGTAATTAGAGCAGGTCATTGTTTGGGGAATTGGAGCTAGCCGGTGGGGGTGTTGATGACGTTTCTATCATGCGACTGACGTGAAGCTGGAAGAAAACAAACATCCAAGGGTGAAGAAGAAGAAGGGTCATTTACACGAAGATGCCAACAAAAATTTCTCACTGGAGAGATGACAAATTCAAGGACCAAATTATGAACTGGCTTTGTGAACAAAACACTGCTCACACTGTGCTTTTTGCGTCATGTCCTGCATCCTGCACACTTTGCCCAGGCAACAACCCTCCGCCTAAACCAAACAGAGAATTTCCAGTCGGTGAAAACACGTCTGACATTAGCAATCTGCGGTTGGGCGCTACACGTGTTAACTGGCAACTACAGACAATGTTCAAACCCGATTGTCATGACACTGACTACATTTACATGCACACTTATATTCCACTCTTAATCCGAATATTGTCATTCAAGAATTCATTCAGAATTTGATAAGCGTCATGTAAACAGCATATTCCGTTTCAATATTCCAAATTAGGCCTTTTTTTCCAAATAAAGCATTTTTCCAATGAAGACGTGGGATATGCCAATATTATTGAGGTTTTAGGAGAATTCATTGGACATATATATAGTGCATTCGGATCATGCGTCTGATTTTTACCCCAGTTTATGTCACATAGCCTCTTGCCTGTTTACGTCAGCTCTGTGCGTTGTCATGGTTGCATTCTACACAAACTAAGTAGCCAACAGTTTGCAAAGCTGTGAGGTAGAAATACACGCCCAAAAGAAAAGCCCCCATTTCTGGCCAGATGGAGTAACACTTTCATTTCAAAAATGTCCGTCTGTCTCTCCATTTCATTCACTTTCACATTATGAAAGACTTAGACATAAACGGGTGTTTAGATATAAGCAGATATTGTAAGGCCGACCTTTCAAGAAGATGGTTGAAGTAGTGAAAGAGGGAGGCTGTGTTCACACAGTCCAACAAGCCCGCCCCTGGTGGAAAACTCTGGAAAAATCGTATTTTGATGCAAAGACGCAAAGTGGCAGTTCCACTTCTCCATAGGTTGACGTGATGAATGACATGTTAGGGCACGTTAATCAGATTATGCTCGGTTGCATGTAAATGTGCAATATTAATTTTCATTAGACATGTGAACAGCTCAGAAGGAATGCTTTATTTTTCAGAATAAGGCCAAAAATCGGAATATGTTGTGCATGTAAATGTGGTCACTGTGCGGAGTTCATACGAAATTACCGCTGTAATTTGCAGATTACTTAGCGAATGGTGCACGGCTCTGTTCTGCTCATGCGTGGGTTGCAAGTATGGTGTTTATTGGGTGGTGAAAAGAAAGAAAGAAAGAAGAGAAAGGGGAAATTGTCTCATGTTGCACATTGCAGCTTGCATGTTGCAAATCAGGCAAAATTGAGATCAGAAGAGAAGCTTATCGCCAGGTCCAAATACAAAGGTCCGTAATCAAATGTAGTCATCTGCATAGCCTCTACACGTCACATGTAACTGCAAGGTGGAAATGTTGCAAATTCATATGCAGAAGTGCTCTAAAACAATATTTGATTTACAGTGTTGTATGTTGGTATGTAGGTATTTCGTCTGTTAACAAAAAAAGAGACATATAACTCCATTTAATTTTGTGAGAGGCTAAAATATACTAAATTATGATGCATTACGCTGTTATTTAATTTTATCAAAATATATTTACCATATATGAGATTTTAATCAATTTTGCCTTCCTCTATGTGGCTGATTAAACTCCATCAGCCTTTATGAGTAATGAACAAAAGTTCAATTCATTGGGATTTCCTGGTCTTTTACGTTAGATGAGCTCCACCCATACCGGTAATTCTTCTCAGATCATCTCCCCATCCATACATCACACTGCACTTTTGATCACACTGCTGTTTTGACAGCAATGTAGTTCGACTGGTTGGACCACACCATGCGAGTTGATCTTTCCAACGTGTGCATGCGTGCATAGGATTGGGTTTAAAAAAAAAAAAAAAAAGGTAGTAAATGCAAATAATGGGGGATGTGGTCTATAAATATTTGTACGTGAGAAGAGACACAGTAGAGTAATAATAATGTGTACGTAGGGCTTTTGCTCATTTATGCACACCTCATTCACCAAAGGAGCACAGAGACAGGCAGGAACTGCACCTATGGATCAGGTAAGCGTTCAGCATCCTGATTATAGATGAATGTATGGCATTGGAAGAACTGAACTGGAGTCTTAACAAAAGACGTGTCATGTAAAAACATTAATTAAACATGAGGATAGTCTCTTTTTTTCCCCAGAAATTCTTGAACTGGAGCCAAAACCTAAATACCATTGAAACTAGTGTTGCCAGATTTGTCGACTGAGATGTGTGTGTCAGGATCTTTAAGTCTGTCTGTGTGTGTCTTTCAGGATTTCTACGATGAGCAGGGGGTGTTTTCGGAGAGTTTCTGGCCCCAGAGTGAGTCCCCCCAGACCATGGCTTTCAACCCCAGAGGAAGGGTCAACAAGCCTATGACTCCGCCTCCAACCACACAGTCCATCAACAACCAGGTCAGTGTGCTCCGTGACTCATACGCCATGATTACATTTAATATCTATTGCAATCACAAAAATGTTAGCACAAACTGGCTCTAGAGTTAAAGGAGCATTGTGTGAGAGTTAGGGGGATTTAGTGGCATCTAGTGGTGAGGATTGTTAATTGCAACAAGCTACTTCTCCCAGTTAGAATTTCTTAAGCGTTCATTGTTCAGGAGGTTTTTACTGGGAGCTGAAGAATCCAAAGACATCTCTTTCTCTCTAAAACAAACGGACCTCGGGATTTAAATCTGTGAAAATACTTAATAAAGCAGTTTCACATTAAACACCAGTGTTTCTCTGACAGTGTTCAGTATGTTAGCGATGGGCCGTTAGCCCAGCACCTGCTAGTGTGAGCGCACCAGTTTCTCTTATCTAGACATTCAGGAGGTTTTTACTGGGTGCTGAATTATCTGCTGAGGTCTCCTCCTCTCTAAAACAAATGTGACCTGTGATTTCAACTTGTAAAAACACTGAATAAAGCAGTTTCGAGTCAAGTAGGGGCTGCAGACTAACAGCATGAATGGCCCTGTCTAGAGCCAGTGTTTGGTTTGTCCGTTCTGGGCTACTGTAGAAACATGGTGGTGCAACATGGCGATCTCCATAAATGAGGACCTGCTCCCTATGTAGACATAAAAGTCTAATTTTAAGGTGACAAAAAGACAGTGTTAAATATTTTCATGTGATTATACACATTCCATTTCTGACAACATATCCGCTAAATCCTACCCGCTGGATCTTTTAAAGGTTGTCAGAGTGATAGGCACAGTCATAGTTACAGTATATGTGTCACAGTTGGAAAACAAACACGCTTGACATTAACAGACACCAAAAATGTTTGCATTGCTGATAGTGCTGAAACTTAAAGGTTAGTTGTGAATCAAATTTAAAGTACACTCAACAATCATCAGGGCTCAGAAATGTTAAAAGTGAGAGTGATAAAACTAGTACTGCAACTACCAATCAATTTATTGTCAACTATGAAATGAATCGCCAACTTATGTGATAATCGATGAATCTGTTTGAGTGTTGTTTTTAAAAGAAAAGAAACGTCTAAAATCTCTGATTCCAGCTTCTTGAATGTGAATATTTTCTGGTTTCTTTACTCCTCTCTGACAGTAAACTGAATGTCTTTGGGTTGTGGACAAAACAAAGACATTTGAGGAGGTCATCGTGGGCTTTGTGGAAGACGAATCAACAGTTTTCGTAATTTTCTAACATTTTATAGACCAAAAATTAATCGGCAGTGAAACTTACCGATAGTTTCAGCCCCTAGATCAACTATGGAGAATGCATATAGCACATCTTGAAGGTGCAGAGTTCATAAGATACATTAATTAGAGAAAAGATCGCTTAATTAATACAAATGTGATGAAAGAACTAACCAGCTGCTCATACAATTTGAGAGGCATTAAACGTCTTTCTCAGCAAAGAATTTGATTTAAAACTCGAAGAAAAATGTCTTAAAAAATCGCAACAAGAGTTGGAAGGTAAATTGCCGAATTTAAACAAGATTATGAATTGCTACTTTAAAAATATTTATAGATTTAAATCAACTAAGGCATTTTATTTCATAGCAAATAAACTGTGTACGCCAAACCAACAATAATTAGTTAAGGATTCAAATGCATTAACTGGGAATAATATCAAGGACACTTTTGAATCTATCTGTAAAGATGATTTCGCAGACTTCCTCTTTGGACACAGTAAAACTAAAACAACTTTCAGAGGTTAACAAAGAACAGTTCAAATCATTACAAACAATTGGAACATTTGCACCAAAAAAAATCTCCAGGCATCATGGATTTCTAAACCTTTTGGGGGCGGCAGTAGCTTAGTCCATGGGCGCTTGGCTTGGGAACTGGAGGGTCATTGGCTCATGTCCCATGTGCACCAAGTATGGAGCGTGGACTGGTAGCTGGAGGGATGCCAGTTTGCCTCCTGGGCACTGCTGAGGGGCCCCTGAGCAAGGCAGTGCTCGGGGCGCCTGTCCAAGGTCAAGGAAGCCCCCTCACTCTGACATCTCTCCATTTAATGCATGTATCTGTTATGTGACTGGTTTACTGTGTGGACTCGAGGCATTCACAGCATCTGTAAGACAAGAATGAAAGAATTTAACAAAGACCAAGACATCTACTGTATTTCTTGTGGTTTATTGCGATTCTGAGTTGATTGACTGAAAACAGAAATTTGCGCAATGCAGCCGTTAAATGAATAAAAAACCCACACAAGTCGGAGCAGTGAAACAAAGATAACACAGAAAACCAAACAAAGGCTTCAGTTTAGTGTGATGGACTTTTTTTTCCTTTTCCCCAGACCTTTGCCTTCACAGTTTGATTGACAGGTGTGTTGACTTTGAAAATGAAAATGCAAAGGAGGATTTGCATTTGAAGTTTTGACCCTGTGATAAAAGTACGTGTAAACGAAATAACTGCCATTAAATTGTCTCCCTTGTTCTGTACAATAATAATCAAAGCATTAAACAGGCAAAGTGAATCAGAAATCATTTTTGTCAAAGAAAAATTTATAAACTGCTTTTTGAAATTGTGTTTTTGATTTAGATGTCAGGGTCACTTTAGAAGCTGACAAGAAAAAAATTAGTCTGTCATATATATATATATATATATATACAGTACAGGCCAAAAGTTTGGACACACCTTCTCATTCAATGCATTTTCTTTATTTTCATGACTATTTACATTGTAGATTCTCACTNCAATGTAAATAGTCATGAAAATAAAGAAAACGCATTGAATGAGAAGGTGTGTCCAAACTTTTGGCCTGTACTGTATATATATATGTGTGTGTGTATATGTACATACATAATTTCTTTATATATATATTTAGGGTTGGGTACCGAAAGTCGGTGCTTATATGGAACCGGTAGCTATACAACGGATACCTACTGGACCGAAACAAAACGCACATTACGGTGCCTCTTTTCAGTGCTTTTTTTAAATGTTATGTCTCCCTCTATTGGACGTTACATGTAACAGAATCATTCATTCATTCATTCATTCATTCATTTGTTCATTTGTTGAGTGTATATTATTATCTGAAGGCACGCTAAGCACCGTTGGGTAGGGATGTCCCGATCCGATATTCAGATCGGTATCGGCCGCCGATATTAGCAAAAAACGGGCATTGGCATCGGATCGGACTGCATGGAAAAATGCCGATCCATGAACTCCGATCCAATTTTTCACGGAAAAAAGTCCGTGCCAGCCCAGCGCTCCGCGATTCAAGCAGTCCATTCCAGTGATCCGCTCCAGCTCTTACTATCAATCCACCAGGCCAGCATGCATACAGCAGATACACAGAGGGTAGGAAGAGTAGCGGTCAATTTAGTTAACTGACTATTTGTTTTCTGCTCTGGTTTTTTGAGTGATATTTTTATTTGGTTTACACTCTTACTATTTAAGTAAAGAGCATTGATGGCATTGTTTTGGGCACAATTAGTGAAATTGGAGCCATGGATGGACTACAAAAACACTACTAAAATAACTGAAAAGGAAAGGCTGCATTGTTTGTTAAATGTCAACAATGTCTTGTGGTGTTAATCTTTTTTTTATTTATTAGGGGGCCAAAGCACAAGTGTGTGGAGTCTTGCTGCTATTTTAATTTCATTGTTAGACATTTTAAAGATTTCTTGTGTTGATTTATTTTCTATTTATTAAGGGGCCAAAGCAGCCAAAGCAAACCAGCTATATTTTCTAATAAATGTTAATGTTCAAGTTTAAAGTTTGTTTATTTAACCCTGTTAACAATAAACACGTCAGTTTTGCATACCAACTGTTGTGGATCATTCCAACTAACCTGATTAAGTAGTTGTTCTTTGCTTGATCAAACCTTTTCTAACATGACTGACAACAAAATAAGTGAATATGTATAATACGTGCTTGGATCAGATCGGTATCGGTATCAGCCAAAACTCAAGGTTGTAATATCGGTTCAGCAATGTTATCAAACACAACGGCGCTAGCTATTATTATTATTATTTGCAGATTAGGGTTGCAACTAACAATTATTTTCATTGTCGACTAATCTGTCGATTATTTCTTCGATTAGTTGACTAATCATTTTATCGAAAAATGTGTTAAAATTTTGAAAAATGTCGGTCTGTCACTCCTAAACCCCAAAATTATGTCATCTAATGTCTTGTTTCATACTCACACCAAAGGGTTTTAGTTCACCGTCATGGGAGAGTGTGTAAAGCTGTCAATATCTGAACATAAGAAGCTGCAATAATTTGAACTTGTGTTTATTTGATTTCAGTATTTTGGGGTACTTTTATAGTCGTTTTCTATTAAAAACTATGACTCAAACCGTCTAGTCGACTACTAAAATAGTCACCGATTATTTTAATAGTCGATTAGTCATCAATAAGTCGAATAATCATTGCAACCCTATTGCAGATTATATCCTCAGACAGCGTGCATACCTATATTTAAAAATGTAAACTGGTCTTTAAATCAGAATTAAAATTATGGCTAAATTAGTTAAGGATAGACCGATACATCGGCCGGCGGATATATCAGGCCGATATTTGAGTTTTTTACTTGTATCGGCATCGGCCGATACGCGCATGGGTTCGCGGATATATTTTTCTGTGGCATGATTTACAGACAGGCATCCACGGGCAGCTCTGTGTTGCCGGAAGACCCTGCAGCGCACATGCAGCGAATCCTACTGTGTATAGTAGTTGTTGTTTTATTTATGCTTCAGCTTAAATATTTGTTTATTTTATAAAGACATTACTGGAAGATTTAAGAGCACTGAACTCTTTTTTTTATTTGAATTTATAATAATAATAATAATATTCTACCTGTTCTACCTCAACTTTCCATCTTGTTTTAGTATTTTTTACTGTTCAATAAATGTTTCTTATTTTAAACTTGAGACCTGTAATATTTGTTATCATTGTGTCATTTTTTT